AACAAGTACATTTGTGTCACTATTTCACTAAGTGGTCTGAGGCATATGCAATACCAAATCAGGAAGCTACAACTGCAGCTTCGGCTATTAGTGATTTCTTCTTTAGATTTGATATGTCATATGAACTACATTCAGATCAAGGTCATAACTTCGAATCAGCTGTGTTCCAAGAATGCTGCAAGTTGTTTGGCATCCGAAAGACCAGGACAACGCAACTTCACCCACAGTCCGATGGGATGGTAGAAAAGTACAACTGGGCACTGGGACAGGAATTGGCAAAGTTTTGTAATAGCTGCCAAGATGACTGGGATGTCTTACTCCCTCCACTGTTGATGGCCTATAGGACAGCAGGGCATGAAGCCACTGGATACATTCCAACAAAGTTGATGTTTGGTCAGGAACTTTGGTTGCCAGTGGATCTGTTAACAGGACGCCTACATTATGAAGAGTTGCCTGAAAATGTGTCAGGGTTTGTGAAAGTGTTATCGGAAAGGATGGATGATATTCACCATCAAGTGCGTTCAAACTTGAAAACGACTGCTGATTCGATGTAGTTAACTCATGATAAGAGATCTACTGAAGTCAGCTTTGTACCAAGAGACAAGGTGTGGTTGTAAAATCCCAGGAAGACCAAAGGGAAGTCTCCTAAGTTGTCTTCTCCATGGGAAGGCCCATATGACATAGTGGATCGTCTCTCAGACGTGACTTTCCAGATAAAATGTGGTCGGCGAGGTAAGCCAAAGGTGGTGCATGCAAACAGGCCAGGACATTCCAGTTGGGATGAAGTGAACAACGGAACAAATGACGATGCTGAAGACGTGTCACCTGAAAAAGCCACTATCGAAGAATAAACTCTACTCGGTTTTGAGAAGGGAAACAGTGAAGCCCTTGATAAAGTTACTACCACTGATGTGGCTGTTACCAATGATAGGACGTTTCCTGATGAAGCAGATGAACCCCACGCAGAAACCAACGAGACGGAGACCAGTATGGAAGAAGATACGTCCCGTAAAATTAAGAGACTTTGTTGAATTTTAATTTTGTGTTTGTAGTGTTTGTAAATTCTGTACACTTAATTAAATTATTGTTATTTATCTATTGGTTTAATGTAAGTGGCTATTGTTCGGGACGAACAATACTAAGGAAGGGGCAGTGTTACGACAGCGGAAGTCATGTGCCGCTAGTAACACGTCATGAGCTTCTAGAAAATTCATGTCCCTTCCTGAAGCCTCAAGTGTTTACTAGATATGCGGTATTCTTGTATATAAGACTGCCAAGAAGTGACGGCAACAATGTAGTGGAATGCACACCTTCTCGCTCTGATACTGAAAATCAATTTAATATCACAGACACATGGCAAAATACATTACACTTTTAAAGATTAAAATATTGTTAAAACCTCATTTTAGCTATTAATACTGTATTGTATACAACCGTGAATCAAATATATAGATAACAGATGAAATGGAAATGATGCAAAATTAGATTATCCCACATTAAACCAAATTCATATGCAGTTTTATGTTTAATTGAACTACAGTGTCTCATACAGTAAATGAACTACCACTAAACTATCTTCTACAGACTATTTTGACACATCTAATAAACCATCTCAGAATTGCAAGTTTTGAGTAAAATAAAAAATCAGAACAAAAGCTGTCATCAACAAGTCACAGATTGTCCTTGTTGATTTTAACTGCATAACCAGTATATGGTTTTTTTGTGGTCCGTTGCTTTGAAAGCTTTATCTAAATACATTGTTCTTACATGTAATTATCACACACAAAAAATTTCAAGATGCAGTCTACTAAGCAAACTTAAGTTTGGGCACTGCACCAAAACAAGTTCAAAAACGGATCTGCATTAATTATAACTTCAACATTAATACTAAAAAATAACCTTATAATAAACTGGTTCCATATGTACCAGTTACACACAAAAATTTATATCCTTCTAATTACTGGTGAACCATGAACTGAATCGATTCAAAACGTATGTCTTGCAAACATTTTTGACTAGATCCACTACTTCTGGAGAAACAATCTCTATTGCTAGTATAACAGCAGCCAATTCAAAAGATAAAGCAATAGATGGGTAACCTGTAAGGCCTTCCATTCCAGTAATGTAATCTAGTGTCAGCTTTAACGTCTTCTTAGTGGGGCAGACCAATATCGATTTAGCAATCTCAGGAATCTGGAAAATACCAATCAAATAAAACTTGGCTAGAATGTTTTGTTTTATTTATCATAACTTTTATTAAAACATTTCACTATGCTTTGAACTTGTGTTATAAAAATTTCATAAAATATAAAAAAAGAGAAGTAAAATGATCCTGGAAATTTAACCTGAATATAAAATGGATGTACATACTAACAGAAATGCAACTGTACTTTGGAACAAGTAAAAAAAAATTCAAATTTAGTTTACACGCAATCATACTGGTTAACTCAAAGAAGTTTATATAATGCTTAAAACCACGTTACACTTATATCTTATTTATTTAGGAAAACAGTTTTTTAATGACATTCTACAAGAAGTCAAAACTAAGGTATTAAATCACTAGAAATAACACCAACACATACAAACTTGCATATACTTTTCATTATTTGCACTTTTTTTTAAATTATACTATTTTCTAATTCAAAAATTTTTAAATATCAAACATAAAAGTATTTCTATTAATCCTTAATGATAGTAACACATGTAATGGAAATTAGCTTACATCAACGGTTTTCAAACTTCTTATCTTTTGGATTACATCACGTTCTTCTGATGAGAGTTCTGAAACATAAGTATAAAGTATGAGAGGTCCTTGTTTAAATGTATTAAAGAGAGAAGCATTAACATTTTTCTACAATGAGACTATATTTCTGATAGATACTTATCTCCTGCTGCTCTCTAAATGCACAATGTGACATACTATAGTGAAGAGCTTACTAGAGGGGTATTACTTGTGAGAGATCACAATGTATACTTTCTGCCCAGATAGAACTGTGAAAGGAGGAAGGCAAAATTAGTCAACATGTTGTAGGTATAAGTGAAAAAAAGACATTATCAACCAAGCATTTGCACATAACAGGTCTGAAGTTTAATGTGGCTAGGGAAATTATTTGACAATAAGGTTTGACATGTGTTCTGTTGTACAATTTATTCACCTTACATACAAAAACAGAGATTAAATCCTTTCCTGTCATGAGAGAAGAACACTTTTCTCCATCCAGCTGATCAAATCACTGGGAAATTGGCATACTATATAATATGGGGTGTCCTGCACTACACTGACATGGACACCCTTGCCCTACTTTTCAGTGAATTGTGCTGCCCACTTGGACTCTTTCCAAAGGGGTCACATAATAACCAGTTAGAATCTTTTCAAGTCAACCACCCCTCTGGCTAGGAACTAGGAGTGACAAAAGGTTCCCATACTCCACTTGCTCCAAGACCAGAGAAGGGAATTTATGCTAGGAGACATTGGAGAGGTATTCATACTTGATTGTACATAACCACTGTAAAGATCTTCTACTGGAGAAAGTGCAATAGATTACTGAGAAACCTAATTTGAAATGCAGGCATGCACAAGCCAGGGAAGTGAGCAGATACTCCCTCAGTGCCGGCTTTTTCCATGATAGTCCATAGAAGATATGGTCTGGAATGGACAATGGAATACAAATATATAAGTGTGTATGTATGTATGTAATGATATATATATATGTATGTGTATATATATATATTAGTGATTTTGCAGAAAACCCAATCTCAACAGCAGACACTTTAGGAGCCAGAGCAGATGGGTTTAATGCTGTTACCAGAGGCTCAATACAAGTTTAGGGAAGTATGTCTACCTTATGAGGCAACACCAACTACTAGGTGTGTTCTGAGAAGTGAATGGAGGAACAGCATAATCATTCTGGAGAGAAATAGATGATCCTTATGAACTAATGAGAGATCCCTGAAAGATATATATTGGCATTTATTTAACTACTAAATCCAAGTTACAACTTAACTCAGTTTTTGGCTATTCAAAATTGTAATACATAACAGAGGAGTTATCTATTGGAAATATATTTTCAGTGTAGGAAAATTTTAACTTCTGATACGATACAATACCTTCTCTCACATAACAGCTAGAATCCCACACTGTCATGGTGGAGGGACTGATGCAAAATTTACTTAGATGAGCACCCTTCAGAAAGTATCCAAAGAGTTCTCATGGAGTGTGGCATCTTTTAGAAGAAAAACACACCTGTGAAAGACCACAATACATTTGAATCAGGTATACACTTTGTTCATGGTGAAAATAGATGTCACTAATTTGGGTGGAAAAGGAATATGGCACATGGTGTAGAGTGGCTACGGCATGTTAGACCATAACCTGTGGGTCAACTGCAGTCCAAAACCAGGTGAAGTCAGGTATTTATCATTTAGTTCACAGTAGGAGGAGGGTCCCTATCATTTTCACCTCAAGATGAGAAAGCAGAAGGTAAAATAGATTCCATTCTGCCATCCTAGTCAGGCAATATAACACTGGAGAGCACAAACTGGACAGAGAAGATGACTTGGATCAGAGTAGGAATATAAACAGGAAATGGAAGAGAGGGAAATAGTTGTGAATTTGACATCACCTTTTGGAGCTGCTGACATCCCAGGAAAAAACTGTGATCTAGGTAAAGGAGAACATAGGTGCAGTGGCAAAGGATACATGAAATTTGAGGGCAAAAAACAAAAAACAACTGACCTACAATAGCTACAGGCAAAAAGAAGCAATAAATAAAACATCAAAGACGAGTGATATACCAAAAAGGTAGGCAAGGGTTCAAAAGGAGGTTGGGTATGGGCCTGGAGAACTACTTTAAGGTCCTAAACCTGAAGGTACATAGGACAAGGTGGACGAAGGAGATGGAAGTAGCAAAACAAAAGGGAGAGAACAGATGATGAAAACACTCTATGGGAAAGGAAAAAATGGCAGGTATTGCATAAGGCTGCCTGATAATCATTAATGGTAGCTTTAGAAGAAGCTTTGTGAAACAGCCAGGTAAATATTTCAGAGATATGAGATACAAAAAGATATGAAGAGAAGTATTCATGGCACAGGGATTAATGGTAAAAAAATGTGTCATTTACTCTGACACACCAGTAGGGAAAAAGGATGGATTGAATGGGAAAGAAGGGATGCTACATTTGTGGAGAGTCTGGACTGCTTCACAAGGGACCAGACAAATTCCAAATCTGAAGCCAGAGTGTGGTAATGGTAGGATGACACACAAACAACCAAGGTTGTTGAAACAGAGAGTGGGAGATAGAAAGTGGTAATGAAATAGAAGACTGAAGTAGAAAGAAGATGGGAACAAAAGCTGAGCAGGCCAAAGAGGTTCAATGAGAAGGAATCAACACAGAAAAGATGGATAATAGATAAAACTCAAGGAATAATATGGATAGGAAGACAGCCATAAAAGTAGAGAATAGATCAATCCTGAATAAAGGTGTCTACTGTGTGCAGAAGTGGAGTAACCCACTGGGCACACAACCATCAAAACACCTGAGAAACTAGTGTCCATTCTGTGGGGAGAATCTTGTTGGGACTAGACAATTGATCCACGATAAGATTTAAAGCACCCGTAGTGTATTAATAGTGCACTGATACATACCAGACTAAGACAGACAGAACTTCATAATGCAGGAACTGAAATGCTAGTTTTCAACACTAGGATTCAGAATAACTTACAACAATTATCGTTCACTGTAAGAAGTAGCATGACTGAGTTAACTAAGTTAGTACAAGCACTGTATGTGGTTGCAGATAGAAAGTTAAGTTCATACTTTCTGCTCCCGAGTAAATTAGAAAGAGTGTTAGATGAAACTGAAAGGAGATTACCCTCACATTTACAGTTTGTAATCCACACACATTGTGATCAGACTTACGTGTATTATACATGAGCCAATGTCAAGACCACTGCAGTAAGGGATACTTTAAGGATGTTTATAGAGATATCTCTGAAAGTAACTAATAGAATGTTTAAATTGTATAGAATTGTACCCTTACCGGTAGCATTTAACCACTTTTTGGCTTTAACTATAGAGAATGGAAACCCATACATTGCTGTTTCAAGTGATCAGCATGCATATTCAAAAATGACAGAAGACATGTTAAGATGTATAGAGGGACCCATCAGAGTATGTGACCCTAATTCAGGAATCTTTTCAGTGCTTATTGTAACTTGCAATTATGTAATATTTGCAGGGATTAGAAATAGAATAGCTGAGTTATGTGAAAAGAGAATAATTATCCCTAAACTGTTTTATTTCTATAAAATAAGGATCCCACGAACTTGGTTGTTTAATGTAAGAGATGAACTTACCTTATCAGTAGTATGCCCTAAATCAAGTGTGCATAAATTTGACTATCAGACTAGAGTAGTTAAGCTAAGAGATAGTGAATACCTTAAACTTACTAGAATTTGTTCCACCCATGATCAGGGAATAACATTACCCTCAAGTTTTAGAAGTGAAACTAAGTATACAGGAACTTAGTTAAATGTGAAAATCCAACATCTGCATGAATTATTGACTAGGGAAGAAACACAGTTACTTCAAAGTATAAATGTAGAAGCAGACATTACAGAACTGACAGACATACTAGAAGAAACTCACAATTTGCCCCCTAAAAGAACAGAGTTAAGTATTAAGGAATTTCAACAGCATTTTGATAATTTTCGAGCTACAACTGAAAGGAACAGATAAGATCAGTGGAAAATATCTAAGTTGGTGGGGATAGCATTATGCTTAGTAGTAGTACTAATAAGTATAATCTTGTATAATAAACGAGATAAATTGGCTTGGATGAAGTTGTGGACATTAGATGGGCTGTACAAATTCAAAAAGAAGAAAAAGAACAGAGTCAGGCAACAAAAGGTTGTCCTATTTAGAAGCTATTGAAGCAGTTGAATTAAATGACTGTGACCCATCTAGCTAGGACATAGACTGATTGTATAGACTGATGATAAAATTAGGTTAGTCTAACGAATCAATGAGATTAGTGGATTATAAAGTAAACATTATAGAGCAAAATTAATAGGTTTAGTTAATTGAAGTTATCAATGATGACGAAAAGTTCTGAGAGTCAACACTACCAGAATGAGGTTTAGTTAATGAATGACAGTTAATCAATGTAACTTTAAACTGAAGTTGAAACAAAATAAAAGGAAACCAAAGAAAGTTACAACTGTTAAAAAAGCATCACAAATCTCACATTTATGTTTAAGCTTAATGAAACATGTCCATTGAAAACAGTTAATATCAAGTGCATATGCTTATGGGAATACATTGCACATAGAAGATGTGTCACCATCCTACTGGTGGAGGACTACTGTTGCATTATTACATCATGCAGTACCACAGTTCACATTATAACATGTGTATTAACTGAGATATTTCAAGGCTAGTGGCATGCACAAAATCTCAAAAGCTGACATGCATGATGCAAGGAAAAATTACTGTGTGTAAAGAGGAAAGCATATCGTTTCAAAATTATATAATCACGTGTTGCAATTTCTATTTAAACACAATTTAATTATTTTTCGGTTATAGCCAAGCTTTTTCAGCAACTACATAACCTCTGATAAAGGAGCAAAACCAAATGAGAGAGTTAAAATATAATTAAAATATTTTATTTCCCTGGAGATAAAGGTAATTTTATTCATAAAATGAATACTTTTTATTAGGTTTTATTAGAAGTATAACTGCTTTTAGAAAGTCATCACACTACATATAAAGAATTAGTAGGTTGTACATGTATGTCATAAAAGAACACGTAATTGAGGATGTTTGTTTAACATTATTTCAAAGAAATGAACTTGCTGAAATGTACACACAAAAGAAAATTATATTCTTACAATAATAAAATTTTCTTACTCTTTAAGAATACCTAAATATATACACAGAGCTTGATCATGCATTTAAATGGAGTATCCATGCTGCAGTAACTTTGATAAGTTAATCATAGTAATCTAAGTGGAATTAACTTGATGGAAAACAAGGCTATTCAAGAAGTGGAATGTAATAAAACCAGATTTAAGTTATGAACACTTGACAACTTGATTAATTCCTTAAGAATGTTACACATTTGCTAATCATTGACTGGGATAGCATTCTAGTGAACAAGTTAGTACGAATGCCGGTTGCAGAAGACTGGTGGTCAAACTTTGGCATGAGATGTGCTGTTGTGCTACATAAAGCTATGTCACTCAGAACTAAGTCTGAGACAGTCAAGTACTTTAAATAAGTAAAACCATTTGCAGCCACAACTGCAATAATACAGCAACTTTTCTAGCATTCCAATAAACCTTGGAGTAAAAAAATAAAAAATGCACAAGTAAAGTCTGAAATCAAATAGTATCGTGTCCACTGACACTTTCAAAGTCCAGCATACCTAAAGGAGACAGACCACTGTTCCATCACAACATGTAGTAGGTTCCCCAAAAATAAATCACTTCATTATGCTTATAAATCATTGTTTACCAACTTATTATCATATTAAGATAATGTGTTTCCTTACTAAAGTATAAATGCATAGAAATGACTGACCAACTGCAGAAAAGTGTTTGCTTTTTGAATGATGACTGACAGTAACTTTGCACCCTGAAAATCTATCAATGAAATTAAAACTTATAGATCAGTCTCAATAATTCAGTATTCAAAGTATTTAACTATTAGATCAAGCCTAAAAGACCATGTCATATTATGTTCTTCAGTTGAGTTACTACTTAAAATGGTTAAAATTCAAACTTTGAATTGATGTTAAAAGTATCCAAATTACATGCAATATCTTAAACAACATTTGTTTATCTTTAAGTGAGTGTGCCACTGAAATTCAATTGTATGTAAAAATCTTATAATATTGTACTTATAAAGCATGTTAAAACTTCTACAAATTTAAAAGATAAAATAATTACCTTCTGGATCTGCTGACTCAATAATTTTTTCATATTTCATTGAAGCTGATTTCTCAGTTTTTTGTTGTTGCTCAAAATCATCAGCCACATTCTTCAACACTTGTGCAAGTTCTAAACAGTGTGCATATTCATCATCACTTAGAGGTGCCAAATAATCTGTTTCCAACTCGTCATTTAAAACATCTAAGTTTGATGAATAAAATGAGTCAACCTGTACCATCGGCCTGCTGCAACTTTCGGCTCGTATTTCTACAAACAGTATTGTGGCTCAAGATATTACAAAATATCACAAGAATTACAAAAATACACACATGATCTAAAAAACTTAATAATTATAAAGAATTTAAAATTTATGAACAGCTAATAATACTCAGCTAGAAAGCCCCAATTAAAAAAAACTACCATTATTGTTATCTATCATCATAAATTCATGAACATCTTACTCCATAAAAGAAATCCATTTAAAGTTAATTCCAGAAAAACCAACAACCTCAAAGATTTTCTGGTTCATGGCAATGTGCATTATTTGTTCTGTTAACTTTACTTATGGCTTTTTGGGAAATTTTGATAAACTAGCAGAAATGGCTGTTTGTGCTAGTAATTAGTAATCATAGTATTCATACCTCATTGTAAGAAAGTGAACATTTTCTAAAAAGTATTTTTTCTGGGAATTACTGCACAGGAAATGTGTTCGGATTGTGCTCTTTAGTCACATACAACTCATTGCATCAAAATGACTCAATATACAGAGCTCAAAATGTTCATAAGTGTTATTGATATAAACTGTAATGTTTTTAATAACTCCAGTTTTTTAGTACTACATTTAAAAATTACATCAATAAAGATATAATCACGTACAGTCCTAGTGAAAGTCATGATCTTGTTATGAGGAGAGTACTTTTACTTAAAATTGTGTTCTGTGATAAAGAAATTGTTGTTGTACATAACATAGTTATTTTTCTAATTGTTTGAATCATGACTACCCAAGTGTGACATTTCTTTATGGATGGTTGTTTGTGTTGCCATTCAATAGATGGTGCAACATTTCTTAAGCCTCAGTTCTGGCATTGAGATGTTGTCCTATATCAGCAAAGCAGATGACACCATTGTATTTATTCAGTCACAAACATCAATGGATAGATTTATAGACAGCCACACCATTGTTTCATTACAGTAAGTTTAAAGTTAACACCATTACACAAACATAATAAAAAAAATATACAAAGATGCAATTATACTACTTGAGACATTTTATGTTACAATATTAAGATTAAATCAAACATTTTGCTCTTCATTTTTTTAGAATTATATTTAAAGAATATGTGGATACTTTTATATATTTCTAACTTTTAAATAATATATGATAAGTATTAGGCCACAAATGCTCCAATTCTTCTAAAAAGAACCTTATTTAAAATAATTTTGCCTTTCTTCAAAGTACAATTATGTTTCTTGATAGTTATAAAATCTATTATTTTATTGTGTAATTGTAAAAGTTTTTTGCTACACAGCTGCTATTTGGTTCAGAATAAACAATTATTTTTGTATTATTTTTTTCTAAGTCAGGGGAGGGTAGAGACAGTAGAATTGCCCCCCTCCCCAAGACAGAGGTAAGTATCCAGAGTTACAAAACTAAAATCAGGGGTTCGATTCCCTTCAGTGGACACAGCAGATAGCCTGATGTAGCTTTCCTATAAGAAAAACAATGTTACAAAGTATGTAAAGTTTAAATCATAACAACCAGTGAACTTGACAAATAAAATATATATTTGAAAAATTATTTATACATAACATTACTAACCTAACTATGAAACCATGTTTGTGTTGTATAAAATGCAGTTTATTGTTACTCATATAAATACACAGTATAAAGAAATGTACTAGAAACAGATATGAAAATTGGACAATTTAAAACAAATATAACAAATTATATAAATAAATCTTACCATTTATGTTAATTCCATCTGTTACATCTAAAATATAACCAAATTTTTTTTCTGAGTCTTCGTCTTTGGCAGTGTTTGAAGCACTCTTGGTTCGACCCCTTCTAATATTTTTTCGGATAACTTGTTGTCCTTTAAGAAAAGATAAAACAGACTGTTCAAATATACTCCAAAAAATTCAATCTTTTTTTTTATAAAAGAACTTAAACTAGGTTGCTTTGAACTATATGAACATGTAATGAATATAAACCAAAAATTAAACAGAGGGCCTCACAAATACAAGAGTGATGTATCACCTTAACAAATTTGAAAGATAAATCTGGAAATACAAAATAAAAGACAAAAACTTTTTGAGTTTACTTTTGGAGTACTGGAGATCCGTCTCGAGAAATAATTAATAGAAAAATTTATAATCTTTGTGTGAAGTACCACAAAGAAGAAATATGGTGGCTAGAGAAAACTAAGTTTCAATATGTCATAGGGTGGTGTAATACACATAGACATTTGTAAGGGTGGAAGTCTGTGGCATGCTTAGGAAATTCCACAGAAGTTGCGCATGAGATAGTAGCTTTTAGTGGTGCAGAGAAGTAAATAGCATTTTTGAATAAAATTACTTTTCTAGCTTTCCACTCCCTTCTCTGTGGACAGTGTAGACTTTATTTATAGCTGATTATTTTCATACATACATTTTGCGAACTAATATGAACTTCAAACAGATGCTTGACTCTGAAATGCTGTTAGCGTTTAAAAACTATACCATTCAAAGTCCTGAATATCTTTGATACAATGCAGAACATGCATTAACTTACACATAATTCTACATTCTCCCACTGTCCATACGACTTATTGCACATGTCAGAAGAACTCACATAAGTTATGGTTTCCTGTTACAGTTCACGTTTCTTAGTTGGAATTGTGATGGAAAAATCTTGAATTGTCTGGTTGTGGGGAGGCGGGTGGGAACGTATTTTATAGGTAAGTACCTGTTGAAAATTACTTTTAATCTCAAAAATGCAAAATTGAAATTAGGTAAATGTATAATACTTCTGAAATATGGATAGCCAAAATACCTACACTGAAAAGGTGAGAAATGGGGACAGTTGAGAGTGTTTGAAAAAAAAATTGGCAAGAATGTAAAACCCTAGTCAAGCAGACTCAGAGTAGAATCCAGAACCAGAATAATTGAAGAAGTGGATTCAAGAAAAATTGAGTTTAATGGACCAGCTTTATATAAAGACTGAACATCAGGATTCTCAGAATGAAATCATTCTTCTCAGAAAGGCACCTCTTCTCCTATAACACCATTTGGTTCATACAAATATGTAGTTGGTTATGGCAGAAATGTATTTACTTGTGGAACCAGAGATAGAAGCACAGGTAAAGGCATAGAGATGTAAGTTGAATGCAATGTCCTGCATCTGCAATATAAGATTCAAGGGGAAGCAGAACAGTCAAAAGTTATGAATGGAAATACTCATGAGGCTTTAGCTCCCCTCATGCACATCTGAAAAGGCCAGTGAGTCTTCTCAAAACTGACTAAATCAGTAGGTTCTTAGAAAGAAACAATTAAAGACCTAAGCTATCCTGATGTTGGAGCTCAACAACTGAAAGACAATGCATGGAAATCTACAGAAACTAGAAAAAACAATACACAGATGTTTTCCATCTTGATTTAAGCTATTATATATATATATATATATATAATGGATGTTCTACATCAAGAATTCTCTAATGCTGTACAAGGAAGGTCAAAAAGTGTAATTATGTCTAGAAGAAATGCAGAGGTTTAAATCGTATGCTGGAGTCTCATACAGAATCTCCAAAGAGGAGTGGGTGCAAGTTATTCATACACGACAAGGACAAAAGTAGGTATAAGTATTAACTGATATGAGCTCAGCTGTAATAAGTTATATAAACATAGAGTACTTTTTTTTGTACTGTTCAATCAAATTACTTTTCAACTTGAAAAACATGTATAATGTTCACAGGATGTTTTGTAGTATAGAAATACCTGAGTTGAGATACTCATCACAGGTGTTGACCCAGTAAGTATATAATGAAATATAACTCATCTGCTGTCGATTCCATCTGGCTTGAAGAATAACCACAGGTGACACACAGAACCCTGAACATGTACATAACCAGCTGGATGGTGAATTTAGTGTATGTAAGAGACTGAGGGGATGAAAGGGTCCTAACAAGCCAAACATCCATGTAAAAGTAAAAGTCAATGCCAAGTAAATGGATAAAACCAGCAAAACTGAACTATTCAACATAAAACAAAGCTAAGCTGAAGGGAAGGATAATAGCCTAATAAAATTACCTCACAATGATGAAAAGAAATTAGAAATATTGATGAATAGTGGAGAATATGAAGATAAGGATCTTGTATATCGACCAACATCATCCAATGGTTCAAACTAAAAATCTTTCATGACAGTCTATGAATTCCAATTGAAAATGAGATGTCTCCAAGACATAAATGAATTCAGACAGGTATCAAAACTTCATATTTCCTAAGAACCACACAGAGATGAGAGTAAAAACCTTAAGAAATGAGATAAATGACTTAACTCGATCCTTTCTGAAACGCATTGGAGATTTCCCAATTTAAAGTTTTGAGCAACTTGATTAGAGATAAGAGTAAAAATGCATTAAGACCAGACTGAAGGATAGGTGTTAATAATCAAAAGTGGTAATAATCAAAAATTAATTTCAATTATTTTTTATTTTTTGTGACATTATTTGATATAATCATAATTTTGATTAATCAACTATTTTATCTGACAATGTAATCAATGCTCATAGGTAATCAATTATACAAATTACGTAAGTTAATTGCCCAGCTCTATATAGTAGTGTTTATATGAATTACATATAAGAAAGCAAGAGAGATTCTTCATTTAAAGTTACAAAAATATAACTAAAATGTAAGGAGACATATACAATAGATGTAAAACAGATGGAGAAGAAAATGCTTTGTGATTCAAATGAACTGCTCAGAATTTCAGCACTTTATCTGTATTTGAATAATCATGCATATTAGAAAGCTTACAATTTTAGTACTATTCTTAAAAATTGTAAACTACTTATCCTAAGTTATTACCAAGTAT